AGATTTTTACTGGGGATTTTGAATGTGTTTAGGTTGCTATCAATAGCAGTCTCATAGACAAACACAAAGAGGTTATATGTGACAGCAGTTGTGGGACCAAAAGGTTTAGTGTCAGGTAAAAGTGTTAATAATAGCAATATGCTTTTAAAGTCATTCCTCTGTGTGAGCCACTTCGGATGTAATATGACAACTCTTCAGGATATTTATGATACCAAGGTCAAGAAGCATGCTAGTAACATTATAAGCAGCCCCTCTCTGTCTCACCTCTTTCAACCCCTTGCCACTTGCCAAAGACTCTGAGCCATCAAAGCTAGAACACATGAACCGCTTTTTCCCTAGAACTGTAGTCATTCTGCTCAAATGTATCACCAAGGCTTGTGCAATATAACGATTTTATCACCCCTACATGATATTATGTTGCCACAATATCCATTGACATTTATCGCCGATTAGCATAATATTCTCCAGCCATTATGCATTTGCGTAGAAGCTTCGCAAAAACATCAGAGTATACTTGTATTAGTTATCACACAAAAATAGGCCAAAAGAGCAGTCTTTTTCTCCCCAGTAAAACGCGAGATGGGCCAAGTGGCGTATGAATCTGGAATAATTTGCACAGGTGTTATTTTCGTATTTTTGTTGCATAACTTAAAAATAAATAACAAATTTCAGAAAAATATAACACGATTCACAAATATAAAATGAGATGCACGAGTATTTATGTAAGTCAGCAGCTTACTCGTCCTCTCGTTTGTAGATCGCTCCGTGTGCATTTGTGCATCATGTGGCATTTGTGGCATGGCCTGCATTTATTTGTCGATTTCTGAAACATTTCAGGTTGACTTGTGCAGTTCAATCTACAAATTATTCCAACCTATCACAGCAGGTATATGCTCAACTAATCAACAAGCGCCAGGGAGGGACTTCTGCAGCGCGCAATCGGAGCGGAGAAATGTCGGAGTAATACCTCAGGATAAGTTTAGGAACATTTTCATGCTTGTGAAATTAAAATCCAATACAAAAAGGAAATAAAACGTTACTCTTCTTGATGATTAAATTGTTTTTCGTGATATTTTAAAATGGAGAATTGCGATCAGGGAAAAACCAATAATGCAGAAGCCTAGTATCATCTGTACAATAGTGCAAAATTAATCTATCATTGCACAATGACCATATCGCATTGTACTATACTGTACATAATACTTAAAATATGTTTTTGCTCATATGCACATATTCAATATCCTTGTCCAATGTCCTCTGTTCCATTATTCTTCCTCTACATAATTTGTCATACTTTTGGCATATTTATAAATAGTCCAGTGTTGCCTGTTTTTGGTGTGCAAACACCAAAACAAATTCCTTGTAAGTGTAAGATTTCTGGCAAATAAAATGCATTCTGATTCAGGTGAAAGGAGGTAGAATTCACCCCAGATGGGACACCACTCCATCACAGGGCACCATGCAAAGACACACCTACTGGCAATTTTGTGTAGCCAATTCACCTACCTGTGTGTTTTAAACAGTTTGAGGAAGAAACCCAGTCCAACATGGGGACACCATGCAAAGCTCCACACAGACAGTAAAGCTAAGCTGGGAATGGAACCTATAATGCTGCAGCTGTGAGGTAGTAACACTACCCACTACACCACTGTGCTGGCCTTCCTTCATTTGCAGAATACAAAATGACTTGTATGGAAATGATGCAACAAGTGTGCACTGGATTTTAGAGCCTGGGGTGAAGAACTTTGAATAAAGATAGAATGCCAAAAGATACATAATAAGTTTCAGGAAAGACTTTCAGACACTTCCGGAGGCTGAAGTGACACTCAGTCAAATTCAGTGTAATCTTTGCAGTTACCCAGACTGTATGAGATATTTCCACTGCAGGCAGATTTGGAATTTTCTGTTTAAATCTCAATTCCCCTCTTTGTCTTTTTTTTAAATTCTATTTTATCAGTTCACACCCCATTTTGTTACTACTGTATTGTTGCACAGCCAAATGAAATGTCTCTGAAAAGTCACACTGCTCTGTAGTAAAACAGCATGTAACACCCATAAAGTGCATGATTTTGCACCTAAACTATAGAGGTTGCTGGTAATGTGTTTCTGTCCACCATCAATGTTCTGGATTCTACTGTACATAGTAAGGAAGTATAGCGGAGTATAAGAAAGACTAAGGAGGTTTAAGAGAATGGTAGAATGTATCGATGTAACACATAAAAGGGTTCCTTAGTGTTACGTTGAATAGTTAAGTGTTCTTAGATTCCTACAGGGTTTGAACCCTCTGCTTTGAACCCTCTCTGAAAGTAAAACCCTTCATTGTAAGGGCCTACAGAGTTCTACAGAGAACAGTACCATATATCAGAGAGAGAGAAAGAGAGGGGGAGAAATTATGTGTGTGAGTCAGAGAGAAAGTATATATTTGTGCACTGAAACAGCACAGCACATGGGACTGATGGAAATCATTTGCTCCTGTCACTCTTCCTCTGCTCAGGCTGTGCGTGTGAGAGAGAGAGTGAGAGAGAGAGAGAGAGAGAGAGAGAGAGAGAGCATATTGTGCAAAAGGATTACACGGCAGCAAAAAATTTAAATAATAAAATAAATATTTTTAAAACTGCCTTGCAGGTTATTTCTTATGAGCAATTTAAACACATATACAGTATGTTAGACTTAAAACTAGGCTTTCCATAAGCCAATTCAGAGAGAAATATAACAGGCAATCATTGCTATGCTATACTTCATACTTTTTATCCCATTTTAATCCTAATTTATATATGACAACAGTACCAGCCAGTACTTAATAATCTCATATATGGTATGACTGTAACACAGACTAATATTGTATCAGTATATTAATAGTATATCATACTAGTATAGTACATATAGTATATTTTATATACTTTTGTACATTTATATATATATATATATATATATATATATATATATATATATATATATATATATATATATATATATATATA